ATCAGTGAGTGGGGCCAAGAAAAGCCTATAGTAACCAAAGCCTTCAGTATATACATGAGGGCATTAAAGTGTTTTTTATATTCTGTGTACTCCTGGCAGTATAATAAGCCACTATAACCCCATATAAAGGTCCAGTCATGCAACAAATAAATAAATACATAAATAAATAAATAAATTTAAAGTATGGTGATATATCGTGAAACCGCTAGAATGTGGAAGATACCAGGATACAAATTTTGTTGGTCATAGCGCCCAGCACTACTAGAAATTATATTTTTAACCTTTCTTTTCTTAGTTTTACTTTGGAATATTTGTGATGTTTGTATGACGATGCTTTTCCCTGATGCAAGGTACACAGGTTTATATTAGATTAACTGTGTTAAAAGTGTGACATATGACAGTATCCAGCCTATAATCGGTCAGTGACTTCCGACTTAACGGCATCATCAAATGACTGTAAATTGAACGGTATATAACGGTCTTGAACTTATTTGAATGACAGCACATGCTACTTATGAACACAATGTTCAATCAGCAGAGAGCAGTTTGATTAAAAGATTCATTTGTAGATTTATCAAACTATGATCAAGTCCTTTGAAGCAAGAATTTCCACAATAACTACAATGATATTTGCAATCTACAGTCCTGTTTTTTTGCTTTTTTATCAACTTGACAAATGTATTTTCATTTAGGCTTTTCCATAAAAAAAAATACATCTGTGACGCACTGGTTTATAAAATCCATGAGGAAATGTGTAATTTTTTCAGCCAAAAAGCAAAAATATTACTCAGATTAAGTACCAAAGAGTTTGGAAAGTTACAGTTAAACCTCAATTTACCAGTCAATCAGGATTAATCTTTTTAATCTGTCAGGCCATGGTGATAATCTGAACAGTGTTTGGCATCTAAAAGTCTACTGGAACAAAAGGGCCATACAGTTACTACTGGATGTAACGGTTTTGATTGGTGTAGTGACAGTTAACTGAACACTAACAGTCATGGGGGAGGGAATCAATAATAAACTTCAGTACCGTAATAAGCATGAGTATTTTATGATACAAAAATAAATAAAACAGATTTTCCCAAAACCCCCAAAAAACATTGCTAAAAAATACATTTCTAATAATATTTTTTTTAGGTTTTAAGTCAAAATGAACAAGAAAAATTTCCACAATGTAGAAAATTTTGAAATACCGTAAATATTGTACTGCTCCTCTACTACACTACCAAATTCATAGATGAACGCTTCAATTTGCAACCTTAACAGATACAATGCTACATTTTTGATTTTCTATCCAACTCTACACACAGATTCCCACACATTTTTGAAAAAGTAATAATTTTTCTTGTAATAAAATTTGATCTGATGAATAAATTTAATGCATTATATTCATTCAATTAAAAACTTTCAGACCATTTTCATACTGACTGAAATATGGCCACAATGTAGCAACACAGAGGCATCTCCTGCCTGTAAACCAAATCATTAAGCAGCTTAAGGATTACAATCGAATGAGTCCATAAAAACCAGCTAAGACATTCCTAGAAGCTGTGATACTCTGGACCGTGTCTCTGCTCTGTTACCGCTGTAGATCGGATTATGGAGGGGTAGGAGTGGTTACTGATTGAGATACGCCTCCTGTCACAGCATGTGTCCACTTGGTTGAAGTTAGAGGTACAAGTGACGAACAACAAAAGAAACCAGTACAGTCAAACACACCCTGGCTGGATGCAAGTCCTTTTTTTCGTTTTTTTTCCCTGTCAGATTTGCAACACATTGCAATGTGAGCCTTGCTATGGCTAGTTGCTCAGCATCTCTCATCACTTCTTTTGAGAATATGAAAAGTCCTGTGTAGAGCCTTGTTTTACCCTCACAGCAAATTTCCAAAACCTTCTGGACAGTATTGCAAATTACAACTGGGAATAAATTGAATTAAACCCTCACTGGCAGACTTCTTCTTGTTTTAAAGGACAAATCTGGTGACATTTGTATTATTATGATATGTGTATTTTTCTTATTGCCAACAAATCCCAGGAAATATATCTCATTCTTCTGGGCCATAAAGCTCCATTATTGCTGAAATACACATAAATGAGCCACACTATTTACTTTGGCTCAGTCCCACGTCAGTACTCACTGGTGCACAAAAAAAACGTCCTAATCCCTGGCTAAAAATAGTCCGCAACAAATGCAGCGTTGCCTAAAACTACAGAGACAGGTTGTTTATGAAATTACTTTAAAAAAAAGAAAAAATCCAACTATATATTTGTGAGGTGTTTTTAAAGATTTATATCTTGTAGGAACCAGTGGGCTTTGGGCTGAGAGCCAAAGAAGTAGGGAAGTCAGAAAGTATTGAGAGATGGACTAACACATTGTTATTTTGGTCTTTTCATGGGATTTTTTTGACAATAGGGAAAATATCATAAGTAAGTAAGTCTCATCTATTAAGGTAATAAGTAATGAAAACCCGAATCTGGGATTTAGTGACTTTTTGAAGATGTATTTTCTGAAATATATAACGTTAAGCTCTACACCCACCCAGGAGCACAGCTGTTTCTCCGATGCCAGAACTGGTGACTCATATTATTATTTTATTGTATGTTGTCTTTTTTGGGCATTTTTTGCCTTTAATTAATAGTGTCAGCTGAATAGTGGTAAATGATAAACCGACCTGTACTTGTATAGCGCCTTTCTATTCATCCGACCACTCAAATCGCTTCTACACTACATGTCACATTCACCCTTTCACTCAGTGATGGCAAAGCCCATCAAACAGAAACTAACTCATTCACACTCATTCACACACATTCACACACCGATGCAATCGGGAGCAATTTGGGGTTCAGTATCTTGGTCAAGGATACTTTGACATGTGGGGGGAGGAGCCGGGTATCGAACCAACAATCTTCCGATTAGTGGACGACC